CATGCCAGCGCACCAGGCAAACGACTATGTTTCTTGATGATGCTTCTATATTACTAGCAACTGAGGACATCTGTAATATCTTGATCTTCTCTGTGCAGAACAAAATCCAAGACTGGAGGTTGTTTCTCACATGTCGAGTAGGCATGCCAGGTAAGAATGATAACATGCAACATTTTAAAGTCACACACAGTAGTATTGTTCCGGTGCTATCAATTTTAACTTGTTTTCCAATTGCAGTGACATGCTTCTTGAGCAGATCCGTGTATGGTCCCTGCTCTCAGATGGAGAGAAATTTGACCTCTGCTTTGTTCATTATCAATAAAACCAGACCAGCTCTTAGATTCGTAGTTTTGAGTGTAAACCCATGTATTTGTCTTTGTCAATGTCTCTATGATGTTACTTAACTATATCGCCTTGTCATTATCAATTCCTCAAGAGGACTACATGGATGATGCAAACGAACGTGCTCACTGCAGGTATGACTTTTTTACGGTAATGTGTCTGTTGAATATGTAAGTAAAATATTTCAAACATCTAATATGGTGTACCTATTTTTTTTAATGTAAAATCTAATGGTGCTTAGATAGTTTGTATTTACTAATTAGTTTTTTAAGATAGATTAGTTTGACTACACGCTTCCTGAGGTATCTTCTGTTTTGGAATAATCATAGAAGATTATTTCTTTTGAAGCATATGTTGCGCATAGAACTGAAATCTTCTTATGTTCCAGTTGGGATTATTGACTGAAACTTAAGGAATTTTCAGATGATTGTGCACTAGCAGTTATTTTTATTTCTATAATCTCTTCATGAACACAACCATAACTAATGCAGGACCACCATGCCCAAGTGGAGCATGCAGGTATGGCTGAGCTCCTTTTAGCATGTCTCCTCACCCTTGCAGGATATTGAGGCACACGATATCAGCTTCAGCTGGATAAAGTATGGTCAGAAGGATATTCGTGGCTCCAAGTACCCAAGGTAAGTGGTGCTTGTACGGTTTTACCGGAATCACCACGAAAGCTCTTTCTTTTGTGCTCGACCGTGTACAATGGGAGGCTGGCCCAAGCTCTCTCAAGGGTTACTACCAATGCAACCATGGAAATATGCAGGGATGCCTAGCACGCAGGCTAACAATGGGAGGCTGGCCCGCTCTCTCAAGCTAACACCTATAATAATTGAATAGGGTTCACAAGGCTAAAATCAAAGGCCATTTTTTTCTTGAGAATTATGGCATATTTCTGTTTAGCTCTTACTGGCAACCAACATAGGATGTCCAAACCAAGCACGTAGAGAAGTCAGAGGATACATGTGAGGATGGGATCGTGCAGGTGTAGGACATGGGTTCGGTCGACAATGGCTTCAGCTGGAGGAACTACAGCCAGAGACCAATTCTTGGGGAGAAGGAATAGTTTAAGAGATAGATCAAAAAGTGTTGGTGCACGCATGCATAATGTATGTATGTACTGAACAGATTTCGTAGGGTCCATGAAAATCAAACAATTTTGTTGTTGTGGGCTCACATGATGCATAAACCCAAGCTTTTAGAAGGAAAAGATCCCATGTGTTGCCTCTTCTACAAATATCATGTATTTATGTTAGTTATATTTCATTGTCTGGTGATAAAGTTAAGAATGACTGTTAGGTGGTATTGTTCAAAGTTGGCAGTTGGTGATTTTAATATTTTCTCTTCGTAATCAGTATGTAATGTTTTAACTTTTTCCTCCTGTGATCGCTTTTTAGGGCCCTCAAACTCCTCCGCCTATGGTCTCCTGCCGCTGAGCCATCCTTTTTGAGAGCTTCACATCCTTCCACAAGGTTCCCCGGACCTGTTGTGAAAAATTGTGTCAAATATTTTGTTAAACCAGGGTGTCCGGTTCTGTCTAATTTCAAACAAGTATTTGGTTTGATAAAGATGGAAGTATTTAGAAGCCTAGATGAATTCTTTATTCATGTGTGTGAAAATTAGATTGCACTGCTTCCACGACCAGGCAAGAATGGGACAAATCACTTGCAAAAAAAAAAATACTAGCAATAATAACATAAAAATACTTTCCATGTATTTACATGGTTCCTAATATATAGTGTCAAAATGGAAGGGCGCAGCAACGCGCGCCTTCATGGATCTAGTGCCCTTCCATATTCCCGGCCAAGAAGTGCACGTAAAGAACGACGCAGGCGCAGGGTCCGATGACGAGGCCAGCAACACCCAGCGCGTATGCGACGTGGCCTATGGCCGACGGGTCCGGGACCATGAAGCTAGAGAAGAACACCAAGAGGGCGGAGACGAGGATGAACATGCAGATGCCATAGGCAGGTTCGAAGAGGTGCTGCGGCATGCTCTTCTCATCGGGCTCCGCCGTCGCGACCGTGGCCTGATCGGCGTCCACGGCGGCCATGAGCGCGGCAGGGTCCTCTAGGTCGACGGCCATGGCCATTGTAGTATCGCTTTAACTGCCTTGAAAACCCTAGATAATCAACTCCTGGGATGCGATCGTAAGCAATATATTCGTGGGGCAACCACAACGGCTGCATTAAGATCGAATGAATCGACGACTCTCCGTGGGGTCAACGTGTACCCGTCTCACATTTTTTTCTTGAGACATGTCTTGCATTTTTTCTTAAGACAATCTCGCGAAGTTTTTATTAAATCGTCATAATGTTTACAGGGACGGATATGTCTCCCGGATGGCCTAACCAAATATGACACCCAACCCCTAGAGAAAGTGCATGCTTCGCTAAATTGTGAGCCTCAAAATTTGAGCTCCTAAATTCATGGCTAAATTTACAAAAATCAAAAGTCAAAGAGTGATCTATTATTTCATGTATGATTGCTCCATAACAAGAGGCGTTTTCCTTCCGAATATCTTCCACTACAACTTTGCAGTCCGAAGCCACATGGATACTCCGTAGATATAGATCATCTGATAGGGCAAGAGCTTCTCTTATAGCCAAGGCTTCAAGAGTTTGTGGTTCGGCAATATATCTGAAGACTAGCACTGAGACTCCCAAGAACACCCCATCTGCATCTCTGCTTATTGCCCCCGCCGCGCCATATCTTTTATGCGGAGGTACAGCCGCATCAACATTCACTTTCACACTGTTCGCAACCGGCGGCAGCCAAACTGTAGGTCTTGGGGCCCTGGTTACCCGTCTGGCATGGGGTCTCACATGTCTCCTGGCTATTGATTGGGCCGGCTCGGAATTGGGCTGCCTTAAGCCTCTCGCTCCTCGCTCGCGTGGTTTAAATCTGCCAAGAATTTTTGAAAATTCTAAACTGTTTTTGATAATGCAAGCATTTTTTTAATTGGCAACCTTTTTGTAAAATTATTATTTAATCAAAATTTGAACATATTTAAAGACTTTTTGAATATGAGCATTTTTCACAATTTTGATTATTTATTTACAAATTTTTAAACATTTTGTGAGGACACATGCATTTTTTCAAAACTTTAAGTAACATTTTTGAAAATTCTGAACAAAATTAGATCTTTTGAAAAAATCAAAGAAAGAGAAAAAATCCAGAAAAACTGCAAAGAAAACCCACCTTCTAGATGGTTCCCAAGACTGAACAACATCTTACATGCGCCTGCCTATCCCATCTTACCTTTGTCCGCTCGACTCCTGTGTGAAACAATGACTACTTGAAGCAATGAGTGTCCAATAGGGTTTTTCTAGGAGGACGTGTCCCACCTAGTTAGTTCGGTGTTGCATCTTTGGTTCCCAACCTCACCTTCCATGCTTCTTTAACAACACATTGCGCTGACCTCGTGCCACGGCCTCCTCCTCATGCTCTCAACGGCTTCCGGGTCATTTGTGCCCCGTGTGCCGGTACATTCGATGTGGTCTCTCATTTAGAGAATTATATTGTTGCGGTTTGGAAACTACATGATCGGCTATGCAATGCTGACCTCCGCAGGCTGTTTGAGCTTGGAGAACAAAGACCGGTTGGCATTCTTCAAGGTGCTAATCATTGCCATTGATAATGACAAGATGCAATATGGCCTTCTCTTCAACCGGTGAACCTAGGTGGAACATGTGCGCCGACATTGTGAGCGACGAGTGCCGCAGCATCTGTGTGATGCTCAGGCAATATAATGATGTCTTGAGCCGTGGCATGTTGCACAGGTTATTCTGGGGCGCTTCAGGGTTCTACACTCTTGATGTGAGCACCGAAAGCCCCCAAGTATAGAACACCATTGACACTTATGGGAAACCGTTTATACCTTAAGCTTGAATTTGATGCCGAGGGGCTGGCAGTGCTCAACCTGTGAATAAACGGCTCCAGCCTAGAGATGTGGATATGGAACCACGACGGCACACCTTTACACATGTTGATGTTCACACTAAAACAAACATATTTGACTGAACAAGGAGATTGAAGGAGCGCTATAAACATGCTTGAGAGAGAACGTCACGTTGCTCATCAAGGCCATCCATGAACGTGTCTATCTTACGATCAAGACTGGGGTGGTGCGGGAGGTTAAGGAATTGTCATACTGTCACGGGCCACAACCGTCAGAATGTTGTGCCACTGAAGATAGATTGGTCTTCCTTGTTCCTTCTTTGCTTCTCAGCTAGGTGGTGTAGCCACGTAGTGATATTTTCTCAATTCTTAAGTTTGCACTGTGAGCTACAGCCTAGAATCATGCATAAACAGTAGGTAGATCAAAATCAGAGTATTCCTTACACTGCCCTCGTCATGTCAAAATCAATAGTAGATAAATTAATCTGAGTGATGTAACGAATAAATCTGAATGCGCCGACCTGATTGGCTAATTCTTATTAAGTTTTTACCCTCAGGTTAATAAGATTTGCTCTAAATTTGTCAATGTTAAAAATTTATCTCAAACACAACTCTGTTTTTTTCCTTCTGAAAAAGAGGATAATGACGGTCTTAAAGGTGACAGCAGAGATTTTACAGACTTGAGTTACATGACATGATCTTGTCTCAGGGGCTTGTTTCCTCCGGTGCGGTTACAACTCCAAGAAGCGCTGTCTTCAGTCATCACTTTCATCGCTGTCATACTGGAAGAGTGAATGAAGAACATTGGCCTTTTCTTCTGAAGCTTCATTGTTGTCCTTAACGCTATCTTGTACAGCTGCAGCTTCAGTACTCTTGTGTTTCTTGTGAGGATTTGCAGCAGCGGGCTTTGCCTTTACAATGAACTTGAGCATCTTAGATTTCAAGCTCTTCTTTCCTTCTTCTTTATTGGAACTCTCAGGATCATTAGCTTTGGCCAAGACATCTGTTGGATGATCTAACATTGATTCAGAAGACTCGTTGATGATCTCTGACCCAAAATCTTCCTCGTTGTCATCGTCGTCTTCGATCCGTTTAACGTAATATTCCGAGTTTCGGAAAGTGATTGATCTGACGAGTTCTTCGTCTTCCTCTGCTAGTACTGTGTTTCCCTCCTTTAAATTTTGATGATGAGCAATACAAGAAGAATGGTTCAGAATCTCAAGCATCCGGTCAGCGGAGACGCGGGCATGTATAGACCTCATCGACAGCGTCTCCTCTAAAGCGGTGAGTGCGTCCATACCCCGCTTGGAATCCATGGCTCTGTTCTCCAGCGCTCTCATCTCATCGCCCATCTCCTCCGCCGCTCGTTTCCTCTTCTCCCTGTCCACCATAGCCTCAGCCTCGCGCCATGGCTCGAAGTTGCGGCTGGCTCCTGACTCCACCGTGTAGTCCGAGTTCTGGGGGTCCGTCTTGAAGGCGATCTCGGCGGAGCAGCGTGTGCACTTGATGTAGAACCTGTGTATTCGTATGCCCAGGTAGGCCTCGCTGGCGGCGTCCTCTTTGCGTGAGTTGAACTTGGTGCCCTTGGAGATGTACGTCCCGCAGGCGCCGCAGCGGATGCTCATCGGGAGCATCATGCGCACCTTGATCTGCTGGTTCTTGGGCTGCCGCCGCCGCGGGATCTTCGCCGGGTCGAAGTCGTTCGGGTAGTGCTTGTTCAGCACCTTGCGCTCGCCCATGTCGCCGGATCTTCGAAGCGAGCGGGAGCCCTAGGTCGTACGCGAAGCGGCGAGGCCACGGCCGGGTAGAGGATTCGAGAGATCGGGATCGCGTGGGAGGGGACAGGCTTCGCCGATTCTTAAAAATCCCTTCGATTCCACGAAGGCGGTTAATATTAGGTCGTTTCCGAGTCTGTGTGAAAAAGAGCTTTTTTTCTCTGACGGGTTGTGAAAAAGAGCTTTTTTTAGCAACGTGAAAAAAGAGCTCTGTTGCGACATCAACTGACAATTACCACCTGTTTGGTAAACACTTGGGCACGAGAATGGGAAATTGCATCAGGGTGTTTATGGAGGGATTAGTCATGGGAAGTTGATTTTTACTCCCATTCCCTTGTTTGGTATATGGTGGGAATTAGCACGGGATAAAACTCTGCTCACGAATTAACAGGGTACTCCTGGAAAGAAATAGGTGGGAATTGGCTTCCTCAACTCCCATTCCCCTTCTCACTTAAACTCCCATTCCCTTTAATCAAACAGTGGACTTTTAATCTCCTCACCCCTCAACTCCCATTCCCCATCTCTAATTCCCCTGAACCAAACGCGCTGGGATTTTACGGGCTGGGCGCCCAGCCCACCATTTAAATTCAGGGTTGCCAAAAAAAACCTAAAATTCAGGAGGGACGGTTAATTAAGATTTGTCGGGACCGACGCTTTCCCTCTTGTTAGGGTTTTGTTTCTTGCGCAGGCGATTCTGTCGCCGCCGTCGAGTTGCCTGGCTGTCCCTGCCGCTGACGACGCCTTGTTCGGTGCGTGATCGCATTGGCGAGCAGATCGGCGGAGTAGGGTTCCTATCCAAATCACCCGTGTCGTTCTACATCGGGTAAGGAAATCTCCATGGCTACTGTCGAGGCGTCAGATCGGGCGGATGTGAGCGATGTTGAGAAGATGATGCAGGAGCTAGGGCTGACAGAGGAGGACTTGGATGATGTAGTCTTCGAGGATAAGGATGCACCACCAGAGGCGGTCCGCTGGGTGGCTCTGGCTAGGGTTCATACCCCGAAAACCTACAGCCAAACGTGGTTCTACCGGAACATGAGATCGGCTTGGGATCTAGCACAAGAAGTCAAGTTCAGACCACTTGAAGACAACCTTTACACAATCCAATTCTCATGTCTTGGAGATTGGGAGAGAGTAATGAATGACGGTCCATAGCAACTTCCGGGGAGATGCGGTGATCATGAAACCCTATGATGGAGTGACTAAGCCGTCAACGATCAAGATGGATACTATCGAGATATGGGCGCAGATTCACGACGTCCCAGATTTATATGCCCACCTTGTACCATCCCTCGCTGCAAAATTGGGGGAAGTATTGTATGCCGAACCACCCTCTCAAGATTTTGCGGGAAACTTCTACCGAGTCTGGATAAGAATTGTGGTAACAAAACCGCTGAGGAACCATGTATCCATGATATGCGATACGAGGCGACAGATCTATCGAGTGAAATACGAAAAGCTACCTGATTGGTGCGCGGTGTGTGGGATGCTTGGTCACCTGTACAAGGAACATGGCACTGGAATTCATCCCCCGTCGGCTCTCGTCTTTAAGGAGTTGTGTGCTGATTGGTTCATGAGGACAGGTCGTGGACCTGGCGGGGGTCGAGGCCGTAGGGGCGGCACGAGAGGATGACGAAGCGGAGGGCGTGGCCCAGCACCTGCACCAAGTACACAGGAGGGGTTCGATGAGGAGCCGAGCTTGGGCAAAACTGCCGAGTTCACCATAGCAGTACATGGGGGAGGTGTTATGACAGCTGGGTCCGATACTGTAATAGAAGATCCTTCCCGGAAGAGGAATGAGAGGACGGAGCTAGGCAGCAACTCTTCGGCTACGCCGCTTATGCATGATACTATTACAGAAGAGGAGGGACTCGCTCTTGTTCAAGTAGGGGCTTCAGTGGCCAGCCCACCTGTTAAAAGAGATCCAAAGAAGCCAAGGACTGAATTGGATGGTAGAAAGGGACACAATAGTATTGTTAAAACTCGGGCGGGCTCCCTCGAGGGGCGCCGCCAAGCCCAGTGAGTGCATTTTGCTGGAACTGTCGCGACGCGGGTAAACTCGCGACAGTTCAAGAAATTATCGGTTTCGCGATGAAGTTTACCCCTACCATGCTCTGTATCGTTGAGACCCATATCAGTGGGGCACGTGTAGAATCTCTTGCTAGTTCTCTTGGCTTTGATCACTCATATGATATAGATAGTCAGGGGAGAAGCGGTGGGACTGGAATGTTCTAGAATGACTGCACCAAACTTGAGATTTTGGGTGACTCTTGCTACCATATAGATGCTAAGATTGAGGAGGCGGGTCGAGAGCCGTCGCGAATTACGTGTGTGTATGGCAAGGCACAGACACAACTTAGACACCAGACGTGGGATCTCATGAAAGGCATCAGCAATCTTAGCGACCTGCCATGGCTTTGCTTTGGGGATTTCAATGAAGTGCTGCAACCAGATGAACACGAAGGTCTAGCCAACAGAAGCAACGCCCAGATTCAGAGTTTTCGGGACACCGTGGATATTCGTATGCTGATGGATTTAGGTTACCAAGGTCGTTTTTGGACTTTCGAGAAGAAGGTAGCAGGAGGCTCTTATACCCGGGTGCGATTGGATAGAGCTTTGGCAAGCTCGACGTGGGTAACCCGATTCCCACAAGCAGTACTCACTCACCTGACCTCGGCCACCTCGGATCATGGACCAATCTTGTTACAGCTGGATCCAACTCAGAACCATGTTACACCGAAGAAACCCTTCAGATACGAGGTGATGTGGGAATCACATGAATCTTGGAAGGATACAATCTCTAGTAGTTGGAATGCAGCAGATGCAAGCTATGGCGTGGGAGACTTCCGGGACAAGCTGCTGAGTATAACTACGGAACTGTCTAGGTGGAGCAGGGATACCTTTGGAAATGTTCGGAAGGAAATAAAACAAATCAAGGCCCAGCTAGAGACCTTATGCAATGGCCCGGCGCGCGTGAGTCCTTCACATCCTGAGTTGAAACTTAATGACAGATTGGCTGAACTTTATCACAGAGAGGAGCTCATGTGGAGATAGAGATCGAGGCTGCAATGGCTATCAGCTGGCGACATGAACACTAAGTTCTTCCATATGAGGGCAAGTATGCGATGTAAGAAGAATATGATCCGAGCGCTTACTAATGCACTCGGAATTCACACAGAGGACCCTGCGGAGCTGAAAAGCATGGTTTTGAATTTTTATAAAACTGTGTACACTTCGGAAAGGGTGCAGGGAGTGGATGAGGTTTTGAGGCATGTGCCCACGAAGGTATCACCGGAGATGAATGAGTCCTTGTGCGCGCCTTATACAAATAAAGAGATAAAAGATGCATTGTTTCAGATGTTCCCAACAAAATCTCCAGACCTAGATGGCCTTCCTGCTCAGTTCTACCAACGGCACTGGGATATATGTGGGGATGAAGTAACTGCGGTGGTCATGCGCATCATTAAGGGAGAGGAGAGCCGGGAAAGCATTAATGACAATGTCTTAGTATTAATCCCTAAGGTAACACATCCCTCATCTCTGTCACAATTTAGACCAATGAGTCTTTGCAATGTATTGTACAAAATTGCGTCAAAGGTGGTGGCAAACATCCTTAAAGTTATTCTTCCAGAAATTATATCCGAGGAACAGTCGGCCTTTGTGCCTGGTAGACTTATTACAGATAACATCATAAGTGCATACAAGTGTTTGCATTTCATGAAGATAAACAGGTCTAAAACCAATAGTTACTGTGCTGTGAAGTTGGACATGATGAAGACGTATGACAGGGTGGAGTGGGATTATTTACAAGGTATAATGATCAAATTAGGCTTTTCTCAAGCCTGGGTGGATGTTGTCATGGGTATGGTAAGATCTGTGTCCTTTTCAGTTCTCTTTAATGGTGAAAAGCTAGAGCAATTCAAACCAACAAGAGGCATTCGGCAGGAAGATCCTATTTCCCCTTATCTATTCTTATTTGCAGCATAGGGCCTGTCGTGCCTACTAAAATCCAGTTCCCGGTCATCAGTTCTAAGTGGTGCTAAGGTGGCTCCCACAGCTCCTGAGGTGAACCACCTTCTATTTACAGATGATAGCCTACTGTTATTTAAGTCTAGTAATGAGGGGGCAAATTTGGTGTCAAACCTACTGAATGTTTAATGTAATGCTACTGGCCAAAGAATTAACAATGACAAGTCCTCTATATTCTTCAGTAAGGGATGTCCCAACAGTACCAAGCAGCAAATCAAAGACATCCTTAGTGTACAGAATGAATCCCTGAGCGAGAAATATCTGGGGATGCCTACAGAAGTTGGACAATCCAAGAATGGCACGTTTAAGTATTTAAGGGATAGAGAGTGGGAGAAGATTCGAGGATGGATGCAGAAACTTCTTTCAGCTGTAGGAAAGGAGGTACTAATAAAATCGGTAGCTCAAGCCATTCCGGTGTTTTCCATGTCTTGCTTCAGGCTACCAAGAGGGTTGTGTGATAATGTGACTTCAACCATTAGACAATTCTGGTGGGGCGGCAAGCGAGGGAAGAGAAAACCATGTTGGGTTTCATGGGATGTCATGACAAGGCCTAAAAACTTGGGAGGACCGGGCTTCCGGGACCTTAAAATCTTTAACCTAGCCCTCTTGTCAAGACAAGCTTGGAAGTGTTTGGACGAGCCTCATTCCCTGAGTGCGCGAATTCTGAAGGCTGCATACCATCCGGAATGCTCAATCCTCGAAGCAGAGTTGGGGGCTCATCCCTCTCAGATTTGGCGTGCTACTCTGGATGGAAGGGAAGTCATCAAACAGGGAATCATTACAAGAGTTGGTGATGGTCGGCCAACCAAGATATGGCAACATAACTGGTTACCACGATCTGGGCTGACGAGACCAATTTCCTCGCTGATTCATGACCCTCCAGAGATAGTTGCTGATCTTATCGATGCAACCTCGCCTTCCTGGAAGGAGGAGTT